CCTTCGATACCCATCGAGTGACTAGAGCTAAGGCCGAGAGTTGGAAGCGAGTGCTCAGCTCATGGGCATATAGCCGCCCGCACGCCGGCCGCCACTGCTTCATCCTCACCGGAGCTCGCCATTCTTCGACCCCCACTCACTCTCGCAACGCCGCGCTCGAAGCCATTCAATTACGGCAAGGTCCGAACGCGAGAATTTCGTCCCAGTCCTTTGTGTGACTTTCGCATGACACAGCGCTCTTACGAACAGACGACACTCTCAGTTTTATAACAAGTGAATACTGTTGTTGGAAGAGAAACAAAGATGGAGCTGTTGAATGTGTATTGCGCCTCCCGCTGGCACGCTCTTCCACCTCTCAACTCCAGCGCCGCTCGAGCAGCGCATTTTGGCAGCACGCTCTCTACTCTATATCTATTAAGTGTAAAGCGTGCAACAGTCGCCGGCGCGCGAGAGGCAATGGCAGCCGCAGCGTACGTGGACGTAGGATTTCGACGGAATTACAGAACTCGGCAAAATAATAGGTCAAAGAGAGTAGGCCTATGTTTAGAAAACAGTGAAGAGTTCGGTAGTAAATAGATGTTCGTATTAGTTAGCATTATATTTTATTATATTTAGTAAGGAGTACTGTAACTAGACACCAGTGGCGCATTCCTAATGCATTAGCTCAACTTACTAGTCACCCCGGTAACACACTCTTGTCCACTTATCTCACTCTATCCCGTCACTCAGTCACCCTACGTACCCTACGCTCCCTCCCCCCCGTGTAGTCTAGGTACTTGAGTACCTACAACGTACTAAGTATACTTACTAGTAATATTGTAAATTAGCTTGTAAGGTATAGAAGTATTCGTAGTGTGGATAACAATTCGATGCTCGCCTTGGGGATCGTGTTAGATATCATATATATATAGTGGCCGTAGAATCCACCGACCCGCCCTCACGAGGCCACAGTCCGTTGTTATGGGACCTCATGGTTCTCTAATCCTTGGCCGTCCGAGTCGAGCACTCCGGAAATTATCACGTGAATTTTTCCTGGACACTTATCCAGTTCAAGGCTTCCCAACTGTTCAACCCGCTCTTACGCGCACTTTGCCAACCATTGTTGCAACCTCTTATTAGTTGATGAGACGGTACCACTCACTCGCCGAGATACAATAGCAAGATAAGAGTGCAAATGAAACTAACTGTAAACTGGACTCCCTCTATTACGCAATAGCGACATGGTTGCTATTCGTTCCTATATATCAGAGATCGCTCTAAGCTCAGCCAGTCTACGCTACAGCATAAGCGCATATATTGTGTACAAATGTGCAACAAAAAACTGCCGTTATTACGCAAAGAGAGCGCGCTCTAGTAGCCTACACAAAAATTGGAGTCATTTCTACGCCATCCTCTACATAACTGGTTAGTGAGATCCCTCGTGCAATGGCAAACTGCTCATTCAGCGAAAAAAGCCGGCTTAAGCCTTTCCTAGAAAAGGATCCGTAGTACTGGCATTGGAAAGAGGGCAGCGAAATTGTAAAAGTGGCCGCGGGCGGCGGTTTGAGCGCCTTCGCGCCGGATATCCCGGTATGCAGATCGCAAGGCGAGCTTCTGATTTAGGCAATATAAGACGTTTCAACCATTTACGGGCCCGCGCGCACACACTAGCTTCAGCTACGGAGGCACTCTGTAAGCCCCGGGGAGGGAAACACACCGGGAGGGGCAGCCCACCGCCGCCGGACGGAGAAAGCACACGCGGGGAGGGTGAAGCACCGGGGAGGGAGCAGCGCCGGGGACGGGTCGAGCACGCTGGGGAAGGCGAATTAGGCTACATGGGGAGGGGGAGCACCCGGGGGAGGAAAGCACCCGGGGACCCCCCCCCGGCGAACAGTGACATCGGCGGGGGAGCACGCCGGGGGAGGGGAACGCCACCACAGCGGGGAGGGAAAGGCAACGGGGGAGGGGAGCACGCCGGGGGAGGGGAGGCCACCGCGGGAAAGGTAAGTCTACGGCCGGGGGACGGGGCAAGCACCACCGGGGAAGGCCCAAAGCCACGGGGAGGGGAGCACAGCCGGGGAGGGGAGAGCACACCGGGAGGGAACACGCCGGGGAGGGAAAGCAACACCGAGGGAGGAAAGCACACCGGGAGACGGAAAGCCCACCGGGCGAGGGGAGCAGCCGGGGAAGTTGAAGGCACGCGAGGGAGTGGAAAGCACCACTGGTGGAGGGGAAAGCAGACCGGGGAGGGGGAAGCAACGCCGGGGAGGAGGTAAGTACACGCCGGGGAGGGACACACGGGAGGGGGACACGCCGGGGGAGGGTAAGTAAGCACCGGGGAGGGGAAAGCAGCACGGGGAGGGAAAGCACAACCGTGGAGGGGAGCAACGCCGGGGAGGGGAAGCACGCGCGGGGAGGGACAGCAACACGCGGGGGAGGGGAAGTAGAAAAACACCGGGGGAGGGAAAAGCACGCCGGGGAGGGAAGCACACCGGGGAGGGGAGCACGCCGGGGAGTTGAAGCACGCGTAGGGGGAAAGCACACTGGGAGGGAAAGCACCACCGGGGGAGGGGGAAAAAGGGCAACGCCGGGAGGGTAAGTACCACCCGGAGGGGGAGCAACACCGGGGGAGGGGAGCACGCGGGGGAGGGGTAAGTAGACCGGGGGGGGGAAAACACACGCGGGGAGGAAAGCACACCGGTGGCGCGAAGCACCCGGGGGGGGAAGCAAACCGGGGAGGGGGACGCAACACGCGGGGGAGGGGGAGCACGCCGGGGAGGGGCGAAGCAGCACGCGGGGCAGGGGGAGCAACGCCGGGGGAGGGGAGAAGCAAACGCGGGGGAGGTGAAGCACCCGGGGAAGGGGACACCCCGGGAGGGGGAAGCACACCGGGGAGGGGGAGCATCCGGGGGAGGGAAAGCACGCCGGAGGAGGGGGCGGCACGCCAGGGAGGCGAGAAGCACACCGCGGGGAGGGGAAGCACACCGGGGGAGGGGTATGCATGCCGGGGGAGGGGGAAGCATCACGCGGGGGAGGGGAGCACGGCGGGAGGGGAGATGGCCGGGGGAGCGAAAAGCAGCCCGGGGGAGAGAGCGGGTAGAGTACACCGGGTGGAGGAACAGACAACCAAGCAAGAAAGGGAAGCTACACCGGGGGAGGGGGAAGCACACCGGGGGAGGGGGAAGCACCGCGGGTAACTGACTGCTACACGGCGTGGCGTATGTCGTCTCTCTCTCTCTATCTCTCTTTCGCTCCTCTCTCTCTCCTCTCTCTCTCTCTCTCTATCTCTCTCTCTCTCTCTCTCGCACCTCCCTCTTCCTCCCCATCCAGCTCTCGCATCCAGTTCTCTCTCTCTCTCTCGCAGGGGTGTGACGCCGTACGACGCTGCGGACACCATCTACGTGGAGCGGGAGGACCCGAGCGGTCTGTCGACGGTGTTCCGCTTCGAGGACTACCTCACCACCGACCAGATGGTGGTCATGAAGAACGTCGTCGACTTTGAAGTTCGCGACAAGTACATGTTCGCAACACGAAAAGTGGTGAGTGTGTTCGTGTGTTCTCGTGTCCGCGTTTGGCTGTCTGACGAAGCCCGGGGCCCGTTGTCAGAAACAAAATTAGACTTGAGGTTGGTTTTAACGTTAACCTTTTCTCATAGAGCAGACCTCTATACACTGCTTATGAGAAACTCGTGATATTACCGAGTTTCTGTCAATGGTTTAGGGTTAGGGTTAGGGTTAGGGTTAAAGTTGAGACACATTTTTTTTTACATTGAGCCCATGTTACTCTACCTTGACTGATTTGCAGTCTCTCAATGCAATCTGCTGGATCTATCCAACAGCACATTACTGACTGCAAATGGATTTATCTAGAGTTGCATACATAAGAGACACAGTGGCGCACCACCATTGTCAAATTTAATATTGCCGTTGTGAAAATGTTCCTGTATGTACCCACCATTGTCAAAATAGTGTCAACCCCAAAATAAATAGATCACCACGTGCTTCTGGCATATTTTTAAAGGCTTATTACTATTAGAGGAGTTCCCCTTCTCTCCCCCCCCCCCGCCTGCACCGTCCGCATGCGTGCCTACGGCCTGCCTTTGAATCCATCATGTGCATTTTAATCACAAACTGGTCATTAGACTCATTACCCCCTTTGTCTAATTTTCCCTCAGAAGAAACCCTGCAGACGATTGCGCACTCACGGGGTTACCTCTCCTTTTCAGAATCTGCTCGGTGCGAGAAACGAGACACTGCAGCTGTGGGTGTCGTACGACAGGGGTCCGTTCCTTCGCGCCATCTTCCCGGGAAATCTACGAGAGCTGGTAAATTCCGTCGACGCGTCACCGCCGCGCGACAGCTCGCCGGAGAATTCGCGTAGAAAATTAATTGTTTGCACGATGTAACACAGCATCATTTAGTCACCTAGTCCTCCATCCCTATTCATTTACTCGTAAAAATTGTGTAATAGGGACTACATTGACTACAGTTCATCTTTATAACGTCACATTAACTTTAATAGCTGTTATAGTGTAGGTGTATAACTGATGGCAAAAGATCGCCTACCCACTGACCACCCGTGTAATGCTCATTATCATTTATGCTCTTGTTACTGCAAACAAATGTCCTTAAGTTAACGGACAATCGATTGTGATCGGATACCAACCAGTCACAGAAATTAGTCATGGAAAACCCAGCCGGTTCCGATTCCAAAAACTCCCTGATTTTTACCCTCAGGAGTAAATGCTACTATCCACATAACCTATACAGTCGACTCTCCCACTACCAACCACCAGTGGGACCGTTGATTTTAGCTCGGTTTTCAGTTGCGTCCGGCTTATAGGGGGCATCTCATGAGTCTCAGTTGGTGTTGGGACTTGAAAAATCGTCCGGTTTAATGTTAGATTTGATTTTGAGGGCGTTCGGAATTTTGAGAATTGACCAGGTGAAAATCCGTAGTACCTAGCTAGTCCCGCCCGGCAGTCACCGCTCCCAAACTAGGTGTGTGTGCGTGTGCGTGTGCGTGTGCGTGTGCGTGTGCGTGTGCGTGCGCGTGCGTGTGGGATGGGGACACAGGCTGGCATCTCCTGCGCTGACGTGACTTTGTCTGCCGGCAGGACTACTACATACCGGACGCGTCGGAAGACCAGGTGTTTGTGTGCGTCAACCACGAGGGCATTCGCACGCATCTGTACATATCCAACGTGCAGGGCACTAGCTTCACGCTGTCCATGGAGGACATACTCTACTTCAACCCGGAGGGCGCCGGCAAGGACACGTGGGTCAGGTGTGTGGTGGATGGGTGGGTGGTGCGTGTGGTGGTGGGTGGGTAAGTGGTGGTGGATGAATGGGGGGGGGCTGGTGTGTGGGTGGTGGGTGGATGGGTGGGTGGTGATGGTGGATGGATGGGTGGATGTGTGGGTGGTGGGTGTGTGCTGGGTGTGGTGGTGGGTCAGCTGTAACTGCTGCTGCTACTACTGCTACTGCTACTGCTGCTGCTGCTGCTGGTGCTGCTGTTGATGCTGCTGCTACCACTACTGCTACTGCTACTGCTGCTGCTGCTGGTGGTGGTGCTGCTGCTGCTGCTGCTGCTACCGCTACTGCTACTGCTACTGCTGCTGCTGCTGCTGCTACCACTACTGCTACTGCTACTACTACTACTGCGACCACGACTACCACCACCACTGCTATTATCACTAACCACGGCATGCCATCGACGTTGCAGCCTGTTCCTGGACGAGACGTTCGCTGACTTCCACAAGGTGGAGGGTCTGCGTGGGGTCTACATCGCCTCGCAGGTGAAGAACGGCAGCTTCTCGATGGACAACACCATCACGCTGATCACGTTCGACAAGGGCGGACTCTGGGACCGGCTGCAGCCACCGCGATTCGACAACCATGGCAACCGCATCGACTGCGACATGGTGAGTGTCGTCGCCACGACGACGTCGCGTCAGCGTTTCGTCCGAGGGTTGTTTCGTCGTGTGGCGTCGGCCGTGTTGTCGCACGGTGTGTCGGATACATTGTTGCGTGGCACTGGCTGTGTAGCGTGGCATCTCCTGTGTTGTACATCTCGAACCAATCATTGTTGCATTGCGTAATATCGTGAGCTGCCTGCCGTACTGTCTCTTCACGCTCGCTTCCCCAGGGTGCGAAATTAGCCTTCTTTGTCTGGTAGTCACACGGACTACCACCTTTTGTAATCTAGTAGTATGTGAGAAATTTTTGTAGTTCCATGAGTTTTGCCCAAATGCGAGTGCATCTATGTCGTAGCCATGTTATTGATCAACGTGTGTGATAACGAATACTAGTTTTAAATATATTTGATAATCGATGGTTTAATTTCATTACACCAACTTGCTTTTTAATTAAAAGTAATTTAAATTATTAGTTTATTCGTTCGTGTCAGTCAAAAACCGATACTGCCAAGTTAAGTTCACGCTGACAGTCAAGGTAGTCCACCGGACTAGTTGTTACTGCAATCTACTCGTCCATGAGTAAATGTTAGTTTCGGACTGACGGACCGCCGTTAATTACGGACCCTGCTTACCTGTGCGTCTCTCCCGCGGAGCAAGAATTGCTCGCTGCACCTGACTAGTCCTTACTTAGGGGTCGTTCACAATTATCAACATTTTCACAAGCGTACAAACCGTACGCTGGGGGGGGGGAGGTGGTCAATGCCTGCCGTACGCTTTCAGCATTTCCGAAAAAAGTCTATCCATTTCCTGCGCCGCGCGCCCCAGCCGGCATCGCGCGCATCCTCACGTCGCGACGCGCCGAGCCCCGGCTGGCCCAGGCGGGGCGTGGGCCCGCTGAACGAACAAACCGAGCTAGCTAGCTAACAGCCGAGTGCTCCGTTATCTGTGTATCCATGCTCGTTATAACAGGGTTTGCATGTAATTCATATACATCAGGAGTTAATAATGACAAACATATATCCTCCTGTTATATGTATACATATACTCCTGATATACATGTATCTCTATGTAGAATAGTGTAAAAAAAATCAACATTTTTCTTCGTACACTTTTATACCCCCTTCACATACACGGATTTTTTTTACGAGTCCTTACGGATCGCACAATTCGTAAAAGTACACGGATCCTTACGATTTGGCCACTTTTACGAGCGATTTACGTTTTATTACGAGCTATTTACGGATTATTACGAGTTATTACGATGTATTTACGGCAAAATTCCACGATTTGTTAAGAGTTGTCACGGATAACTACGAGCAACTTACGGGCATTTTACGAGCTTTTTACGGATTGTTACGGATATATTACGGAATGTTACGATTCATCGAAGCTTTTACGTGTTAGTTACGACCTGTTTACGTGTTGTTACGAATAGGTACGAGTTAGTTACGAGTATTTACGAGTCTTTACGATTTTTTGGCAAAAAGTATATAAAAATCCTGCAAATCTCAATCTATCATCAACTTGTTGACTGCCTTCTTCTTTGGAGCCATGCTTGTAGATATTAGAGTAGATATGCAGAGATGTGACTTCTCTGACTTCTTGATAACAACTGAAAATGACATGTTCGATTTTGCAGCCTTTCCCAAATCGTAAACAATACGTAAGAATACGTAAAGTATACGTATCTAATATCTATTCGTAAAGTGCTCGTAATAACTAGTAACAATCCGTTACAATCGTACAATTGTTACGAGTCATTTACGGATTATTGCAAGCAGTTTACGGATAGTTACGTGTTGTTGCGAGCGGTTTAATATACTTACGGATTGTTACGAGTTATTTACGGAAAAAATCAATCCGTGGACACTCATGAGAAGATTTTTGACATGTCAAAAAGTGTACTCTTTGTACACTTGTGAAAATGTTGATAATTGTGAATGACCCCTTAGTAAGGACTAGTCCTCACTGCAATTTACTCGTCTGTGAGTAAATCTGGTGGCTCCGGACTGACGGACCGCCGTTAATTTTGAACCCTGCTTTCCGCCGCAGAGCAAGATTTGCTCACTGCACCTGACTATAATAAGAACTAGTCCTTACTGCAATTTACTCATCCGTGAGTGAGTCTGGTAGCTTCGCTGGTTAATTTTGAATGCTGCTATCCCCCCCCCCCCATACACACACAGAGCAAGAATTGCTGGCTGCACCTGACTATAATAAGGACTAGTCCTTACTGCAATTTACTGATCTGTGAGTGAGTCCGGTAGCTCCGCTGGTTAATTTCGGACCCTGCCCCCCCCCCACACACACACACACACAGAGCAAGAACTGCTCGCTGCACCTGACTATAATACAAGGACTAGTCCTTACTGCAATTTACTCGTCCGTGAATAAATCTGGTAGCTCCGCTGGTTAATTCTGAACACTGCTTCCCCCCCGCAGAGCAAGAACTGCTCGCTGCACCTGACACAGAGGTTCGCCCAGCTGTCGCAGACAAGTCAGGACATGCGCATCCTGTCGAAGGAGTCGGCGCCCGGTCTGATCCTCGCAACGGGAACCATCGGAACGTCGCTGAAACGCGACTCGCTCGTCTTCGTGTCGACGACTGGTGGCGTCACCTGGTACCAGGTACGTGCGCGCAGGACATGGCCGCGCGGCGGCGGCGATCAGATGCCAAATTTAGTTACTAGTTTTAGTTTAGTTTCTACATTTTTCTATTTGTTTAGGTTTCGTTATGTTCTACATTTTATGTAATGCAAATGGTTTACATTGTCATTTAGTTACATTTGTTTTTTACTGAATTTAGTTTATAGCTAGTGAATGTTAATGATCATATAGAGTGCTAGCTAGAGAGATCATATATCGTCAGATATGTGTGCTGCTGCATGTAAAGGGTGTGTTTGGCTAAGTTTTGTCATCCGTAACTAAACGACGTTAGTAATCGTATAATGTAGCATAAAGTAAACATTACTATCGATCATATAAGTATTGTTTGATATAAATTTAAAAATGAGTGCATGCGTGCTTGCGCTTGTGCGTTCGTTTATTCGTGTGTGCATGCGTGCGTGCATGTAATGTAAATAAGATTGGTGGTGCTTGTGTTTTCACTTATTCTCTGATGGATATATTTCTAGATCCTGGATGCTCACTACTTCTTTACTTTTGCCGATCACGGAGGCGTCATAGTTGCGGCTAGACAGTTTGCGAAGACCAACGAACTCAAGTGAGTTTTGCACACCCTATGGTATTATATCTAGTGTATTCCGAAATGACAATTTACGTTTTACTAAATATAAATTAATGTGTACATCCGTAGTGTAGGGAGTAGCAGGGTTACGAGCGTCTAGTGTAAAAACGTTCAGATTTGTGTGCGATGCTCCACTGTCAGATCTTGATGATTGTGCCTACACTCTCACTTCACCATGAACCTTGAATGCATTCTCACTTTACATAACCACTCTGTTCATATGCATTGTTTGTATATTAGTAGTGAGGTGTAGTAACCTCAGGTACTAGAATAACTTCCATGCAGTCTTTGACTTCCTACTCAGAAGTGCATTAGTACATTACTTTGAACTGTGTCATAAATAACTAAATACCTTGCTTGAAGTCTTTTCTCCCTACTCCTGCAAACTAGTCGTCGAGCTGTTTCACAAAAAGTTTGTACACCAATGTTATATTTTACCACGAATCCACTAATGTAGGATAGCGGCTTTATGCTTGCCAGTGCAGCTTCTCAGTATGAGTAAGGTACTACCTCAGGATTAATATAAAAACTCGCGTGTGTAAATATCATGAAATCGCAAAGCCCGTAATTCAACGTAAGGATGTGATAGGCGCTGCATATATTCAACTACCCTTGCACCCACCATCTTGCATTGAGTTTCAAAACGAACTATTTAAACGCTCGACATCCCACGCGACTTGCACGTGACTCGGACTTCACGTAAACATTAAAGATTAGTCGTCTTCTGATGGAAAAAATAATCGGACTAAAAATTGGAACGTTAATCTATTATCTCGACCGCCTCGCTCTCAGCGGCGATGACGCATTAGTTGTGTTCGGAGGCAACTAAAAATTGGAAGGTTAATCCAATGGTCAACTACTTTTTACTGGTGTGCAACACTAGATAAATCAATTTGCAGTCAGTAATGTGCTGTTGGGTAGATCCGGCAGAGTGGATTGAAAGACTGCAAACCAGTCAAGGTAGAGTAACATTGGCTTGATGTCCAAAAAAAATAGTCTCAAAATAACTCTCCGGGGCGCTTCCCCGCACGCGTGCGCAGGTATTCATGGAACTTCGGCAAGACGTGGGAGACGTACCTACTCGGCGACGAGATGCATATCTACGGCATACTGACCGAGCCGGGAGAGAAGACGACCATCTTCACGCTGTTCGGCTCCAAGATCGACGCGCACCAATGGATACTCGTCAAGATCGACATGGCTCCCGTGCTGGGTACGTCGTCCGCTGCAACACATCAGACGTGGCAGAGGTGGCGAATGCGCTGCGTCTTGCAAATTTGTCGACGTTGGGGAGTCCAGGGCTCGTCGTCAGAAACAAAATTAGTCTTAAGGATACTCTCCACCTATTGCACGGGTATTGCGCTAATGAAGAGTAAACGTTTATTGACGAATGAATCGAATCGATCACACATTTTATTTATAGATGAGATGTATCTCTATGCTCAAGCCACACAATTTCATGAAATTTCCAGCACCTAATTATGCTACCACTCAAATTTTGAATTTTTATGTAAAAATTGTATTTTTGATATTTCTCAATTACCACAAAGAGTGAGAAAGCAAAACTTTCGCCACATGGTAAGCACAATGTGTACCAAATTTGTGCATCAGGATTTTTATTTAAGTTTCATATTTACTGAGAAAAATGAAAAAAACTGCTTAAAAATCAAGTTGTCTGTTAGAATTAGCAATTTTAGCAAATACGGCATAACTCATAAAATACGGCACGTAATAACAATCCCTAACACCCTTTTTTACAGCAATATGTTACCATTAAAACGAGTGTAAAATTTAATTAATCCGAGTTGTAATCACAGAGAAATATCTATCTATACATCGGCTACTATGTCAGAAATCGAAACGGAGAAATCAGCGTTTTTATATTTTTAACAATGATCGACCGCCTGTGTGCAAAATGGGTGAACGTATGTGAAACATCTACTGTTAGTACTTACTGTGACATATCCATGACTAACTGACACCACTAAATTGGTAAAATGTTCTATGCACCTTGAGAAATTGTGAGAAATTACGAGGTTACCATCGCACTTTCATGCAAAATGTGCGTACGATGTGTATTGCATGCCGTTACTAAGCTATGTGTCAAAAAACGCGTGCCTAAATGCAAGGTGTGTAACTATGGGAACGAGGCTATTTTCGCTCGATCGGAAATTTCAACTATCACTGGCAGATGACAGATGTAGAAGGGTTGATGCTGAATGATACTAGCTTAGTGAATACCGTGAAAATGCTTGTTGTATCAGTGATCTGACGTCATCAGTGATGTCAACCGCGGCTCACTACATGTGTATGCGGGCAATCAAAATGTTCTGAAAGTTTACATGTATAGTTATATGGAGAAATAAGTATGTACAGAGTAAACACAGAGCTAACACATAGTGTTAGCTATCGAATAAGAATGAAAATGAAAAATCAGAAATTTTTTGCCTAAAACTTGGAGAGTATCCTTAGTGTTAGTCTTAACTTTTTATCGTAAGTTGGACCACTATACAGTGCACATGTGAAACTCGTATGTTTACCATGTGTCCGTCAACGGTCTATGAGAAAAAGTTCATTTTAAGACTAATGGAAAGACGAATTTTGTTCTTGACGATGGCTGTCTCGTCGTTGGAGGTAGCAAACTGGTTTTGTGTTGCACAGTCTATAGGGGGTTTTGTGTCGGTAATTGAGCAGATGCAACCCTAATTCTAGCCCTAGCACAACCCTAACTCTAGCCCTACCACAACCATAACCCTAGCCCTACAACAACCCATACTCCAGCCCTACCACAACCCTAACCTTAGCCCTACTACAATCCTAACCCTAGTGCTCATCCTAACTTTAGCTCTAGCATAACCCTAATTATAACCCTGCAACAACCCGTACTCTAGCCCTACTAAAATCCTAATTCTAGTGCTCATCCTAACTGTAACTTTACTACATCCCCAACCCTAGTGCTAACCCTAGTGCTAACCCTAGTGCTAACCCTAGCCCTACCACATGCCCGAACCCCAGTCCTAACCACGTCTCGTTGACGCCGCCGCTGGTCGCGCGGTCGTCGTGACAACCGCATCTTCATCATCGTCGCTGCCTGCAGGGCGTAACTGCACGGACGAGGACTACAAGCTGTGGACGGCGAGCGACGATCGCACGACGGACGCGTGCCTGCTCGGCCGCCGCACGACCTACCAGCGGCGGCAGACGTTTGCGCGCTGCTACAACGGCCGCGACTACGACCGCCCCATCACCTCCTCCAACTGCAGCTGCACCCGCGAGGACTTCGAGTGGTAAGATGGGACCGCCCACCGTGTGTAATAGATATGTGTATATGTATATACATATATATATATATATATA